TATATTGAAAGTATATAGTGAATATATATATATAGTGAAAGTATATATATAGTGAAAGTATATATATATATATATATAGTGAAAGTATATTCTATATTCAATCGTAAAGTAAACTATAGCAATGAAAATCATATTTTGAAATAAATCAGAATAACTATTAATTTGCTTTTAAAAATTTCCGCTAGTTTGTGATAAGGAAATAAAAATTCAATCTTAGAAGTCTTAAAAATGAATGAGTGAGGAAGAGCTAATGTTATTAATAGTATCTCCTAATGTTACTAATAAATGTTACTAATGAATTAAGCATAACGTTAATTAGCAGAGCTATGCAAAGCTATATTAGTGTCAATTTTTGCTTAATACACAAACTTCGGCTATAAATATCTGACTAATAATTTATTATTTCCCTAAGAATGAAAAATACGAATTGATCTTCATTAATCGCAGATTATTATTTTAATCTGAAATTTCAGAATCTAAGATCTCAACAATAAATTGTTTCATTATAAAATAATTATATATATGCTGATTGAAAGACTGAATGATATTAAGCAAAAATAATTTTTTATTTTTTATCATTTTATTTGGAAATATAATTATCATGGATTTTCAGTTTTTTCAATGGCCACCCTGTATAATAGGTACACGTAGTTGTGAGCAAATAAAATAACACTTAAAAAAATCCAGCTATACAAATTGAATATTATTAAAAAAATATATATCGTGCATAAATTTCTTATCTAGATATTTTCGATCTTTTCGATTCATAAAAATTTATTATTGAATAAACCTGCGAGGCAATTAATTTCCACACCTGTTCAAGAAACGATTCCTACTAGAATGCAAACTGAATACATACTTCGTTTACCACGATTACGTTATCTATTACAACCATCAAAGCACCTACATATGTTTTTCTTGGTTTTCAGTAAGTTTCCTAACGAGCAAAGACATGTTAATGAGAATTATGTTATTGCAAGAACACTTGACGAATATATAGAAACGTATGTACAAGCAAGAGATAATATCTTAGGGAAAAATTTAACTTTAAATACATCGAATCAATGGTGAAAGGTGGCGGTGGTATGTCGTGATTTTAAGATGTAGGGCGATAAATAGCACTGGCCCAATTCGCCGCATTCGAAGCAATCTCAATATATCTGAACCCGGTTTGTTTGAGAATTGTTACCGATTTTCTTGAACGTGGGGAACATCTCTCTGAACGTTTAAAATTGAAAACTACATGATAAAAGACCAAGGCTAGGAATTATACGTACGTATAATATTATATGTATTATACAAAAAGACTTTATCATATATCATTTTTATCTAAATACTCAATTATGCCATGTTAAAAGTTTAAATAAACATGTATTAATTGTACTGATTTTATTAGACCGAAAGTTATGAGAAAATAGGTAATAGTTAATTATCACTGACTGATTCTTTTATAATAAATAAGAGATAATAAATTCAGCAGAAAATAAATAAATTGCTGAAAAGTATATACAATTATTAATTGACACATTTCAATTTTACAAAGTATATCAGAATAAACTTTATTATTTCCATAAGGAAATAATATTGGTTGTCTAAATAAACATAAAAACGGATGAATAAAATGAATTAATTCGCATTCGAAAAAAGATATTTCTTAGTGCAAATTTCGAAAGAATCTTTAGAAAAAAAGAAAAAAGATATATAAAAAAACGACACACATATCCGCATTGAGATAGTACAAATGAAGGACCCTACCCAGTTTCATATCCTGCAATCGATACTGGCCGAAATATCGAAGAGTCGATGGTATGCAGCGTAAACTTCACATGAAAGGCACTTGCGACATATTGTCATAAATTATTTATAAATGGATAAAATTTTTTTGTATATATTGCACTGTTTAACCTTACGCATGTATGTATACATGTACTTGCATATGTCGTATGAAAATCGTTTTAAATTTCTTAAATCCCAATACTATTTACTCGATGTATGTATATTTATTATAAACGTAGTCCATACTCCGCCTAACGTACGAACCAACTTATCGAAATTTACATTCACTTTAAAAACTCGTATCGTGTGAAATAACTTCAGTCGCACTTAAAACACAAGATCATTCCCCCAATTGAGATACAGAGGTTAAAAAGAAGAGAAAGAAAAAAGAAAGAAAGCAAAACAAAAATAAAAATGAAGAATTTTGTTAATTGACCATAGAAGAGACCATAGACCCTGCATTATGCGTGCACCTTTCGTAAACACCTCTTTATCAAAAAGTATAGTCCGACACCGTATTGTACATACTTGTGTTTACTCACACAAATAAAATTCCGTGTGGCCCTATGCCTGGCCTGTTGTATAACTGTCTCAAAAACGCTGGAAAAAGATAAATTGCCCTTTTTCAAACAAAAACTTGTGACGAATGTCATCGAGTTTTGGCCCAGAATAGTGACGAATCTCTTTTCTTGCTCGATGTCATAAACGATTCGTCATAAATACATGACAAACAACGCATATTAAAAACTAAGGCACTACATTCATTGTTTACATATAAAAAGTCATCATATAGCTAGGTAAATTCAACTATCTCTTCCTAGTTTCTCTCTATGTAAATATATATTCATAAAACGCAAATTAACGTTGAATTAATCAATTAATTACCAAAACTTAAAACTGATCAATCGGTTAGGAAATGTAGAAATATAAAACAATATTTTTTTATTTATATATAATTACTATCGGACAGATGTATTTAACACTTGAGAAAGGAACCGTAAAACATCATGACGGAGTTTTTTCCGTTTCAATAAAATTTTGTTCACCTATACTAGTTTTTTTTACGTAGATAACATCGAATTCTTAAAGATGAAATTTGAAATGTTACTTGGAATAACAAACTCACCTCTTTTTGCAGAGTCGAATCTCTCAAGTAGATTGCGTGAAATCGTGGTATGCATCACAAAACTTAACACTGACACCTACGAATAACAACGTGCCGATCGCGTGACGCGAGGATACGACTTGTATCCTCGATGCACAGTACGTAACAGAACTACTACACCACCTGTCACTCAGCATATTCGATAGTACGAACATGCGTCGTGATGTCATACACACCCCACCAAACGCCAAACACCAATGAGCATATAGCAAACAGAACTTCACTTGATATCACGATTACAATATCGCCCTCTATTGCACTCTACTGGAACGTTAATTTCAATAACTTATTAAAATTAATATAAGAAATTACACAATTCTATGCATATAAACACATCACCAATTTTTAATATTTTACAATAAGTATAAATATCACATTAAAATAAATGTATTAATATTTTTATTGAATAATTTTTGATACTCAAGTTATTACTTTATACGTCTCTTATGTAATAAGAACATATATAGAATATAAAAAATTATATTATTATATTGGAGTACTTAATTTGTCATTCACTTATATTAAAAGTATTAAAATTTATCATTAACTTGTGCATTAAAATAGCTATTATTTATTTGCATTTGTTTCTGTAACTAAAAAAGTTAAAGAATTAAGTATACACAGAAAATAATTATAACAAGACATTGAATGATAGTAGTACAAATACGCTATAAGGAAATATTTTTATTGTATATTCTTAATCTTTATTCAATTTTAATGCTCTTGAAACATTTGACGAACATGTAATACTTATGTGTACCTATGTTCTGTTCAAAAAATAATGACATTTTATTGTCATACAATATAATTGTTATATTATTCATGTTACAAGTTAAATATAAATATAAATTGTAACTATGTACTGATTACGCTATATATAATATTAACACATCATTCACATTTAAAGAAACTTATACATAACTATATACATGTATAAATTACTTTTTGTAAATTAGAACTTCAAATACTTTCAAATTTGAACTTTTAGATGCATGTTCAGTTTCTATCATTATTTCTAAATTTCATATTTGTATTATACATAACTTTCCTAAATTCTCTTGCTTCGCTTCTTAATTTTATTTCATCATATGCACAATAACATGCACCAGTAATTCCTATTACACCATAACTAACTACTCCCATTTTTGTAGAGAATCTTGGATTACTTGTAAACAAAAATGTTATTAAACCACAAATTATGCCACCAGAAATAGCAGATATCATAGCATTTCTTTGACAACGTGTTTTAATTATTGGCTCACCAAAGAAAGTGAAAGCCGTCGATTGTTTTTTATTTTGTCCAGAAGTTTCCATGATGATATATAATTTAAACGTTTATACGTTTTATTAAATTCAATAAGAAATGTACATGTTACGAGACACGTGTTGTGAACAATTTGTAATGACTGAACCATATATCATGTTTTCAACTAATATACATGTATATGTGTATATCGAATTTACTTTTATTTACAATAATTTCCAAAAACTTAAGAAGTACAAAATAAAACTAATTTTTCGAAAGTCGATTTTATCTTATTATATTATATGTTATTATATTATAAAAGATTGATAAAGTGTATATAATAATAATGATGATTTACTAGTAAATTTTATTTAAAAAATTACTAAACCTTTTTAAGCTTTTTACGTACAAAAAATATTTATTGTAATTATATCAAAAGCCCTATTATCTAATAGTTTATTCTATGGAAGATGTAATAAATATTTTTAGAAAAGTTTTTATAAAGATACAAACATAATAAAAATAGTATTATTAAATAAATTATCAAAAGATATTTTTAAATACACTTTTTTTAAAACATAATTAATAATATAATGGTGAATGAAAGATTGTATTTTTGTAGTTTATAATAAATAATATTTATGTAACTAGAAATATAGTTATTTTGTGCACATAACAGTTGGTATTTCTGCTTACGGAAATATTGGATCTTTTTCATGAGGTCTGGATGTCGTCAAGGTACATATGTGAATAACAGTTTAGTTTTTAGCTAAAAACAAAGTTCAAATGTATTAGAAAACATTAAATGATACTTTGCATGTTGTTCATAACATAATGATTTATTAAATAAACTAATATTTTTTCTTGGATCGCATATATAAGATGTGATAAAATTGGATTTTATTTGATACAATGTTCGTATTTGACAGTATATTGTAATTTGCAGCACTACTCTAAATTATATTTGCACTTATATATGAATTTTAAATAAAGTTTCTATTCTATATTTTAAGTTGTCTACTAAATAGAGAAATTATTTAAAATTTATGGAGTATCTATCTGTAAACAAGAAAAAATCTTAACCTCTAAATGTTTTTCAGATGTTCACAGCAAACGCTAAAATAATAAAAAGTGGCGGAGCCGAACCTGATGCGTTCGAAGCCAGTATTTCCCAAGCTCTATTGGAATTGGAAATGAACAGTGATTTAAAGTCACAGTTAAGAGAACTTTATATTACTAAAGCACGTGAAATAGAAACTAATAATAAAAAGGTAAAATGACATCCTATTTTACACAATAACTTTTTAATTATTATTAACTATGATTTATTATCTAATATTATTAGCTGCTACTAATAATATTAATCTTAATTACGAACAACATTTAATTTTATTTAGAAAATATACAATAAAGAATACTTATGATTATAGAGTTTTTATTATAAATGACAAGATAGTCTATTAAATATGTACAAAAAATATTTTGACCATAAAAGTAATTATGTAAATATATATAACAATGTATACAAAGTAAATTAATATTTATTTTAGTGCATTATCATATATGTACCTATGCCAAAATTGAAGGCATTTCAAAAAATTCAGACTAGACTTGTACGTGAATTAGAGAAGAAGTTTTCTGGAAAACATGTCATGTTTGTTGGAGAGCGTAAAATTTTGCCCAAACCAACAAGAAAAACACGTACGAAGAATAAGCAGAAGAGGCCAAGAAGGTATATTATACTCTTACCAAAAATATTTGTGTATACGTTATTATAAAGTAATAAATAAATGTTTTTTAGTCGTACCTTGACTGCAGTGTATGATGCATTGCTGGAAGATTTAGTGTATCCTGTAGAGATTGTTGGTAAACGTATTAGAATTAAACTTGATGGTACACAGCTTATAAAGGTTCATTTAGATAAAAATGAGCAAACAAACATTGAACATAAGGTAAATACATTTTTAATGTATAATGAACATTTTTATATATTTTTATATTTTTCTGAACATTTCAATATTTCAAACTCCATTTTTATTTGTGTAACTATCGAGTGTAAGTTAGTTATATTTACTACTTCCAATTAATGTGAAGTATCTAATACAACATTTCATTTCCTAGGTCGACACCTTTGCTGCTGTCTATAAAAAGTTAACAGGCCGGGATGTAACATTCGAATTCCCAGAAACTTATGTATAATTTGTTTAAAAAATAAAAATATTTGAAATATCTTTCAAGATCATTATTTTTTCATAACCTGAATCAGTCAAAATTCATGATATTAATCATTAAGATTTGTTATTCTTAAATAAATTCATGATATTAATCATTAAGATTTGTTATTCTTAAATAACAGTTATTATAAACATTAATTAAATGATTAAAGATTAAGTCGATTATATTGTTAATGTAATATATTCAATTTAAGACAATAAAAATATATAATGATAAATAGAAGTACAATAAGTAGAATTGTGAAACAAAAGTTGAATAATTGTTATATAATTTATTTTTTTTATATTAGTATAAGATATAAAAAATTTTATATTTACTTTTTTACATTTTATATTATTTTTGCATGTGTGTGTGATGTGCGTGTGTCGATGTGTATTTCACGCATGCGTCTAAAGTCTTTTATACCTCTATCTAACGAACAATTAATCTCTGTGTCTCAAACGTTTATGTGACACAAGTTGATAGTAAAAAGTTGTTAAATGTGATTTTGATTGTGTAAGACTAAAGATTTATTTATAATAAAATATTTATCGTATATAACTCCATAATTATAATTGTTCAAGTTTAAATTTAGGACTTAACCTACATATATTTCGAAAAATTTGAAATATTTATCTTTGATCACGGATTTTAAACATTATTAGTTTTATTTATGCATGGAGAATATTTTAGCTAAATGTGCATTTCGTAACAACTTATTAATTAATAAATTTAAAAAAAAAGATGCAAAATATTTCTAGAAAAATGTTAATGTTTTAAATCGTTTAATTTCACCTTTTTAATTTCAAATATTAAATATAAAATCTTCCAAAAATTATTTTAAAAAAATTTTAACTTTTACATTATAATAAGAAGTGAACAATTAATTATAAATGCTAAAAATTTAAATAAATAGAAAGTTTACAAGTGAAAATATATAGTCCTTGTATAATTTGTCTTCTAATCTTTTAATCTTCTAATATTGTATATTTGTATAAATATATTTGTCTTGTATAATCTGTCAAAGTTATACATAAAAGTGGTAAGTATTAATATATGTGGAGTATATTACTGATTTTATATATATTTACATCCTTTTACATATTTAAAAACTTTTTGTTTATATATATTTAATCTAATTCTTTCGAAAATGGTATTCACATTTCTACTTTTATGTAAAATTTATAATAAAATAAAGTTTTCTTATATAATGTTTAATTTTAACTATTTACCTTTATTAAAACATTATGATCATACTATAAAAAAATATACTATAAAATTTGTAATAATCATTATATTTGTCAATTATATAATTAATAAAGAATTGTAGAATGAATTGAACATTGTAAATGAATAAAATTATACTATTATATCAGCTATTAATGCTGGCAAGTAAATAATTAGAATTATGTGTATCTGATTTTTGTCTAATTTTTCATTTCAGTTCACTATGAGTTCAGGATTTATATCAGAAGCTGAAATTGCAGAACAGCGAAGAATACGACAAGAAGAATGGGAACGTGTACGAACAGCAGATCAACCATTAGGTTATTCTTATTTTCATTTCATATGTTATCTTCTGACAATTCTCTTTAGTTGTATATATATATACAAAAATACAATATATCTAAAATTAATTGAAATACTTTAATTTTTATTTTTATTGTTTGTTTCATTAGTGAATTATTTTAATTATGATTATAATCTTCTTGAATTTATACATCTTAATTTTAAAAATCTTAAATTTTATATTTAATATGCAAATTTCATTTATATACTTTGCAATAATATAAATATAATTCATATTTATATACTTTTCCTTAAATAAAATAATAAAATAAACTACAACTTTCAAAATTCAGTTTTCCAGTACTATTTTGATACAATTACATAAGTTATTTTATTTATTTTTTCTAATCTATAAATATTATATGCATTTTAGTAAATAAATTGTAACATATATTTTTTTATATTTGTACATAATTCATTTACATTAATCGTTATAAAAATATCATTATTATATATTATATATATTTTTCATTATTATATATTTTTCTAATTTTTATAGAAGCTCCAGAAGAACCGTATGATCCAAGATCTTTATACGAACGATTACAGGAACAAAAGAATAAAAGAGATGCAGAATATGAAGAAGCACATAAGTTGAGTAAGTTAATAATTATGTTTGATACTTATCATAAATACTTCTTATAATATATACATAATTAGTTACTATTATAATAACTATAAATATTTATAAATATTATATAAATATGTAATATTTCTTTATATTTTTTGGCAGAAAATATGATAAAAGGTTTAGATGATGATGAGGTGGAATTTTTGGATTTGGTGGATAGAACAAAATTAGAGGAAGAGCGTAAAAAAAATCTTGAAGAAGAGAAAGAAATGCGAGATTTTAAAGCTGCTGTGGCTTCATTACAAGAAAAAACCTTGAATGAAAAGTTAAAACAAGAATTAAAAAATCCTCAAATTGTAAATAAAAATATTTCTTCTGGAAGGTAATATGTTAATTCATCTAAAATTTTAATAGATATGATTCATTTGTATACTTCATTTTAGATATCATTAAACTTATAATGTAATTAATGAATATATGTAATTCTCAATAATTTTTATTATTATAAATAGTACAATAATTTTATATATAATATATACAATAATGAAGAAGATAAATTTTGTCTTTTTGTAGTCGTACTTCACAATTAAAATTATTAGCTGGTGTTGTTGTTAAGCGTCCTGAAAAACAGAAAGAAGGTAAATAAAAATTTGATATGTCATATTTTTAATGATATAAGTTATTTATAATTGGACTAACATATGCAAAAATTAAAAATATGTTTAGAGTAATTAAAGATTGCAAATAATAAAGAAAAACTTATTTTTCTATACTCAATATTATTTCTATACTTAATATATATAATAACATATATAATAATAACATAATATATAACATTGTAGATCTTACACGAGGTGTTAAAAGAAAGTTATCTGATGAAAGCAAAGATACATCAAAAAAAGAAGATTGTGAAATAAATGAACAGATAGCTGCTGAATGTGAATCCAAAGATGATACTTTAGAACATAAAAATATAACCAGTGAAACAGGAGGTATGAAATGTATTGGAATTTTGCCTGGCCTTGGCTCCTACGAAGATTCTAGCGATAGCGAATGCAGTTCAGATACAGATCAAGATCCAGAACCAAGTCATTCCAAATACGATTTATTAGGTCGAAAAATAAAACTTTTAAAAGATAAAGAAAAAAGCTGAATGCAAAGTATTTGTAAAAGCCTTCTATTCATAGGTAAACAATAATTCTTCAATTCATTATAATTGTACAATATAAATATATTTTTTGCAATAATTCTTTTGCATATTTCACTTTCATTTTCACTTTATTCTTATTTCATACTATAAAAAATTACTATAAAAAATAAAAAAATATATTATATCGTATAATATACTTGTTTTTCAGGACTATATAACTTTTGTGTATTCATTCGTTCATTGTAAACATCTTAAAATTCTGTTTAAAGTATTTTTTCATCAATTCATAATATGTACATACAAATTTAAAAATATCTATTATACTATGAAGATTTTAAAAAGATTTATTTAAATATTCATTAGATAATTGAATTACTTCAATTTTGGAGAAAATATTTTTAAAATGTATTATGTACAATTATAATAACTTGAAATAATCTTTTTGGCAGTATTCATTATATTAAAGATCATTTTGATTGAATATATTGTCGTAATGATTCATATATTGTATTATATTGTAACATACGTGATATATACATATCGTGACTAGCATAATAATGATGAAAAATTATTGATAATTTAAACTGCGATTTCGTAAGAAAAGATATAATGATCCAATTTCATTTTAAAGCGTGAAGCCTACATTTTGATAGTCGTAAGTTGAAAATGATTTTACTTTACCCATCCACATGGTGATTTATAACTTCTCTTACAAAGTTATATGAGTTTAAATTATCGACAATTTTTCATTTTCACTAGTACAATTATGCTAGTCACTGTATATATAAAAATTATGAAATATCAATGCATGTTATTTATGTCAGAATACGTTAAAAAGAAACAACATTTCTGTTTTTTACAATAATTTTAGTACAATTATCTAAAATTTTTTAAATAGATCACAAGGAATAATAAGTGATGTAGATACTTCTCTTTATTTCAAAATAAAATTATTTTTATACGAAAATTAAAAAATTATTTAAATAAAATAATATCACATGTTTCTAAAATGTATTATACAGTCAGTCATAAAGACTATTATAATACTAATAATGCATATATTTAAATGTACTATATAATAAAGCTATGTGCCTATATATAGTAAATATTTGTTAAATATGTAATCCCATATATTAACTTGAAATAAATATATATTAACATAAAAAATATAATACAAAATTTACAATTCATAATTGAAAATGTGCAGAATATCTTCTTTTAATCATTCAAAACAAATATCTCCGAAGATACAAAATATATGAAAAAGTGTTTCGATAAAAAATTATATGGTAAGAAGGGTAGATCATATTGTAATTTATTTAATCTTGCAAAAGCCTACAAAGATCTGAATTTTTAAATTGAAATCTATATTTTTTTACTGTATATTATTATAACTGATATCGAGACATTTTCAAAATATCATGTATTTTCTGTGTAAACCATTTTCAAAACTCTTAAAACTGATTTATCACTGACATTATTAGTATCCAATATATACTCTGAGATTGCACGGTTGAATTTCGTTCATCTAAAAAAAGCTGATTATAATATTGATAAGCTAATGAATTGTTAAACTAATATTCAAATTCTCGATCGTTTATTTTAATGGATGTCCTTTGTCTGGATACCGCTATCCGTGCTATCTTCACAGACACTTGTTTAGCTTTTGCAATTTGTACGACTAACTACTAAAATGTAACTAACTACTAATTGTGACTAATTACTAATTTGTACGACTAGTACTAAATCGAAAAATATTTACAAACAATAAAGAAGGAATATATTTCATTTTAACCACTCCCAACTTAACAATCTAATTTGTTTCAGTAAAATTCTGGTGACACGTCAGCTTACGTTTATCTTGAATTATCATTTAATATTATCATATAATTTTATCAAATTATCTTGAATACAACTTCTACAAAAAAATACATATAGATTTTGAAAACATCTCGATATTAACTGTCATAATATTTAGTAAACAATTTAATTTAAAAATTAAAACGACAGCATGATTTATCCTCCTCGATAGTATACAACTTTTGTTCGAAACATATTTTTTCGTGTTTTATCTTTTGAGACATTTGCTCTGGGAAATTAAAATTAAACATTTTATATATGTATTTTATAATCATAACAATCACAACATTGAAAATAAAAATCTTATACACATGAACATATTTTTATAAATAGTAAAAATGAAATTTTTAATTATTACATTTTATTACAAATTTAGTCAAGTTAATAAAATATGTTTATATAAAATTAATTAATCTTTTTATAACATCTTCTGTATGTGAAGTTACATATTTGTATATTTACATTTTTTAAATTTCATTTTCGTATTATATAATATTTTATTAATATATTATGTATTTTATTAATATATATATATATCACATACACTAATACAAATGTATTTATAAGAATTAAAGTTAAAATTGTAATCACTAATTTTTTTACTTCTACAAGCTGCTTCTAATAATAAAATTTATAAATTAATACTCTAAAATAATATATTATAATTATTATTTTCTACAAACAAATAAAATAGGAAATTATATCATTTTTATTTAATTCAATTAAAATAAATTGAATTATGTCATTAATACAATATTACTTCAATAAAGAAATTATCCATTCATCTTCTTGGGCAGAAGCTTTATAATTTTTAGTTAATGAATCTAAAACAGAATCTATATTTGTACTAGTATTGAGTGCTGCAATATTTGATGTTTTATGTTTTTGACTTGATAAAGGAGTTTCAGACTTATTAAATTGATTTGACACACTAATATTCACATCTGAAATTATTCCTTGTGAATCATTTTCTGCTTTTTGAATTTCTATTACCACTTTTGAAGAAGATGACTTATCAAGCTGATTTGATACATAAGTAGGACTTACATTTGAAATTACTTCTGGTAAATCATCCTCTACTTTTTGAACTTGTGTCATATTTGAAGAATTATTTTGAATATCACTATTATTGAAATTATTTGATTCTAGATTTTTCTTAATAGCATTAAAATTGAATTTTTCATATTGTTTACCACTGGTTATATTTCGTTTCACAAACGTATTTTTCACTTTTAGATTATTTGGTCTTATATCATTATTTTCATAACTAGTTAATGTATTGGCTATTACTGTTTTGGGAGTAGTAGTACATACTGGAACTTCAAATGACAAGGTAATTGGTGGTAAACCATCTATTTCCATCGTAGTTGTATTTAAGTTAGGTTTTAATATATTTTTATTATCTTCACTTAGTTCTAACTTTTCAACTTCTGATTTTAATTTAGTTTCTGTAATGCCTGCAGATTTTTGATGAACAGATATTTCATTTTTAACATTAGAAGTTTGACTTGCTGGCTTAATATTCGAAATATCAATATTTGTATTTTCAATACTTATTATTTTTGGAGTTCTTCTAACGTTGTTTATATCTTCATTATTTCCTGTGGAAATATCATCCCTTTCTTTAATATGTTTATTTAATGAATTTATCCATTCATTTTCAATTTTTATATTATTGTCAATTGGTTGCAAAGTACTCTTATGTACATTTGTATCAATAGCAGTAATTTCCTTATTTAAGATATTCTCACTGCTATCTTTCTCAATATCAATGTTTGGTATTATACTTGATTCTTCAAAACCAGAGGTATATAGATTATTGAAACTTTCTAAATCTGTTACATTTGAACTGCTATTTATATTATTAATGTTCTTTAAACAATATATATCTGAGCTGCTGGTCATTTCTATCATTTTTGTATCTTGGGTAGATATTGCGGATGTATGACATAATGCTGATTTTGATGGACTTGATGTAACTTTTTCTTTATAATTTGATGGTTTATAATCATCCCAATAACAAGACCAAACTTTTCCTACTTGTCTTGGGCAAAATACAAAATCTTTGTATCTGAAAGGCCATATACACTAAAACATAAAATAAAATCAAACATCGATTTCATGCATTTCATAACATATAAAATGAGACATTACAAATATGATACAATGAGCAATTGTATTATTACGTGTGTATAAGGTTATGTCATTAAATATTGAAATATTTCGATATTGATACGTAAATAGCCGGTATTGAACTTTTGTAATATTTCTTGATTTAAGCGATCGATCGTTTAAGTGTTTATAATAAAAGAGATACTATATTTATATTTCTATAGATCGGAATAAAAAATTTACCTCTTCATCTTTACACAACCATACACCTTCTTCTAAATTAATTTGAAATAATTTTATTTCGTTCTTAATGCCTTTTTTTAAACACAGTGGGCAAAAATCTTCCATTTTGTAGTAAATATGGAATTCTATTAATCCTTAATAATAAATTATTTATTATAACTAATCCATTTTATGCTAAATCGAATTCTATTAATTTTTAATAATAATATAAACGATATTTTCCTTTTTTAAATAAAATCGTGTTAATTTCTTGAACATGTATCATTTACAGCGTCAGAAACAAATTGAGAATAATGATGCACGATCACAGACGAGGATCACATATGAGTCGTGTCCTTACTATATAACATGTCACATAGGTCTATTTAGTCTATTCCTGTTTTTGGCTGATTACCTGTTCTGTTACTACCTGTTATGGTTTTCGAAAAAAGCTTAATATATCAATTCGTATAATATTGAAATTTGTTTGTCATCGAAAACAAAGTGAAATTTATTGTTATGTACACATATATATAATTGTTATGAAAATAAATTCGATAAAAGAAAAAGATTTTTATATCTTTTTATACTTTAATATTGAAAATGCCAGCTGATCAAATACAATATTCTGAAAAGTACAACGACGATAAATACGAATATAGGTTGGTATGAAAGAATTAGTTAATTTATGTTAAAATATTAAATAAACCAATATATTAAAATTTGTGAGACATTTCCAAAACATAAATTTATAAAATATATTTTAATTTAATATATTTGATATATTTGATTTTAATTTACTTGATGTAATATTACATTATTTCATTTGAGAGATATACCAAAAGAGTAATATTATATTGTATATTTTCATTTTTTATGTTCATTTGTAACTGTACATTTTTTTATCAATCTAGGAATATTTCAGATAATATATATAATAATAGATAAGAATAATTTATTTGTTATAACTGAAAATATGATTCTGTGTATAATAAGTATTAATTTCTAGCTAGTTACTAGATAAACATTTATCTGTTTATAGACATGTCATTTTACCAGCTGATTTAGCAAGACATGTTCCAAAAACTCATCTCATGTCAGAAACAGAATGGAGAAATTTAGGAGTTCAACAAAGTCCAGGCTGGGTACATTATATGATGCATGTACCAGGTATAAGAATAAATATGCCTATATTTTCTATACAAATAATTGTTTTATGCATAATTGTAAAATATTATATGATAATTTAATGAAATACTAAAGTGCTATCTTACACAATATTCCATAAATATTTGTTACATTTTATAATGAGTAATTTATTCAAACTTAGTTATTAACCATTATATGTACATGGATTTAATTTAATTACACTTAATTTAATTACACAAATATAACAATGTTATAATATTAATTAAAATTATTTTTTAGAACCACATGTACTACTCTTCCGTAGACGAAGGACTGATGTTTTAACAAATACAAGAAGCAATTCTTTTCAAACAGAATATCGGATATATTGTGTTTAGAATAAATTTTTAGGAACATTCAATATTATTTATAAAAGACTTAAAGCATAATGAAAGTTAGTACAATTGTATTATAAATGATAATAATGATTTGTTTATTATAATCATAGTTCTGTTAAAAACAAATTTAATTTATGAGGATTCTAACAGAATATAAAATAGATTTTATATGATTTATTAATTTCATCTTTGCATAATATATTAATATAGTTAATCTTATGGGTGTTGGAAATAAAGTACATGTTCTAAATTGATACTATATTTTATACTATTTTTTAGATGGAATATAGTAGTATTCAATACATTCAATACATAGTAGTATTCAATGCAATTAAAGTTTTCACACGTGCAATATATTTTATAATTTATTGTTTTAAATTATTATATTTGAAAAATATAACATAAATTTAATAATGTTTTATAATGTTACAATCAGGGATTGAAAATGATTATAATATTTCGATTCTTGAAACTATTAACTATTAGAATAGAAATAATCTTAAAACAGTTATAAATAAAAAGAGTTCATAGTTAATGATATATATAAATAAATAGAATATTGGTAGATTTATTAAAT